CAAGGGGGCAAATCGATGCAATTGAGAGTAGAAGGGAGTAAAGTGATATCGAGCCAAAGTTACAAGGGGGAAAGTGGAATTTACCCAAAAATTTGGGACCAAGTGAACATGCTTTAAACGGGCAGAATTTCGCAAAGATGCCAAGAACCATCGTTTACGGTACCTAGTTACCTACCCTTTGCTTTTGATTTATCATTTCAAGATTCTATTGCCTCGTTGCGAGTCGATCCTATACAAACTATATATTTGGAAGATGATTAAAGGTGCCCGGCACTAGGGGTGGTAAACGAGCCGAGCCGGCTCGCAAACTCGACGAGCCGGCTCGAAAAAAGCTCGAACTCGAGCTCGGGATTTTCGAGCTCGAGCTTCGGACGAGCTCGAGCTCGAGCCCAAAAGTAGTTGTTCGACAGCTCGCGAGCCGGCTCGCGAGCTGCCTTCTATTTTTTTTTTTTTTTCTTTTTACATATATATATATATATATATATATATATATATATATTATTCTTATTCTTATTATTATTATTATTAACTAAATAGTATATAGTCTATAATAATAAATATATCTAGTATTTAAATAGAAACAAATCTATATTACCCAAATAATTCATAATTATATAAAATATTATAATAATAATAATAATAGAAAAAAATAAATATATATAACTAGAGTTCATTATTTATTTTATAATTTTTTTTTATTTTCCTATGAATAATTTCTAATAAAAAAATATTTAATAAAAAAAAAAAAAAAAAAAAAATTAATAAGCCTGAGCTCGAGCTCGAGCTCGCCAAAATTTGCTCGAGCTCGAGCTCGAGCCAAAAAAAATTGGCTCGATGAGCTCGAGCTCGAGCTCGGGAACATGGACTCGAGCTCGAGCTCGAGCTGGCCAAAAAAGCCGAGCTCGGCTCGAGCTCGGCTCGTTCCCACCCCTACCGGCAACTGTTTAATCCACGTTACGTTTCGTTTTTCTACGAGTTGGTTTTATAGTTTTAGGCCATGTTTGGTTGGTAAGATAAGATTACCCAAGATAAGATTAAATAATAATGAGACCCAATTATTTTATTGGAGCTTGAAACACCCAATAAAAAAAACTCATTAGAAGGCAAGATAAGGCAAGATGAGCCATGGTTATATAATTTTGGCGGGTCGACCAGGCAATTTATTGAGGATACCAAACATCAAATTAAGTCCAACTATTTAGTTAATCATGATTTATCTTGTCAACCAAACAGGGCCTTAGTATCTTAATATAGATAAGTCGAGAAAGAACGAAAGAAATGCACAAAACTAAACGTACCTTTGTAGAATGCTGTCACTACCTCATAAACACCAAATCGAACTCCCAGACCTAATGTTCTTCCCAAAGTCATCCACGCGACACCATTATACAAGCCTAAAATAAATTCGACAAACATCTGTTTATTTGACCATGGAAGATCAAAACTTTGAATTCCAAAGCTTTAACACGGTTGGATTTCATGACAGCGAAATCAAGATAGTGGAAATGCTAAATGTAATAATACTGTATCACGTAAAAAAGTCTTGTCAGAAACCAAAGAAACGAACATTATATGATTCATTGAGCAAGGAATCTAATTTCATACTCGACGAAAGGTGTTTATTTTATTTGAAAAATTCAGCTTATAGCTAAAACTAAAATTTCTTCATCGTGGCCGATATATATTTCGCAGCTGAAACCCCGACATTTCTCGATGCTGTCTAGTTAAAATTTTCCCTTGTTTTTGAATACGATAATGCTAAAAAAGAACAAGTTCTACAAAGGTAAGTTCTACAAAGTGATGATAAAATTTACACTTCATAAGATGCCGGAAAAAGCTATATATTAGTATGGGTAAATTACGGCCACCCCACAAAGAATGTCAAATTACGAAAAAAATCCCTCATATTTGGATAATTACAACCACCCTTCGATTATGAATCTTCTTGATTACGTGGATATTCTCCAGTTTATACCCGTTTTATCCAATTCGATCTCCACATTTTGAAACACATTTTTGAAACAAAACAAGATGATCATAAATGTGTTTCTTGGCTTGTAAATATCAGATTGTGGTGCATCAGAAACTACATTTTTGCACAAAACGAGTCCAAACTAGAGAACATTCCACGGAATCTAGAAGATTAAGTTGAATTGACGCCTTTACCCAAACAAGAAGGGTTTTTTTTTTTGTAATTTACACTATTATGATTACCTGAATATCCTGATAAAGCTCGAACTCTATAAAGAACTTCAGCCTCATTCAAAGGTTTTCCGGCGGTGGAGCCAACCTGTTTTTTAGTTCTCCAATAAGTAGGTACCAAATATGAATAAATAATTTAAAAAAAAAAAAAAAAAAAGAGCAAATCCAGAAGAAAAGTGAAAAATCGGTACTCAGAAATCAAACCTGTATGAGTACTTTGAGAGTATCGAGCGGGTATGTTAGGGTAGTGCCGAGTGTAACGGCGGCGGCAGCGGCGGCTGCATGAACTGCGAATGTCTTGTTGTTCAACAATTCATCCATCTCACCAAAAAATTGGAGCGAGCGCGATTCAATCAGGTGAGATTACTAGATACAAATCTTCACATTTGACGAATTTGGGGAACTCTCCGAGTACAGATGTGTATTTTTATCACTAACATTACTTGCGCCTGCGGCGGAAACCGGAAAAAGCGCGAAGAAACCCTAATTAAATATTTGGGGCTAAAATAATCAGCATATTCACGCTTTCATCGGCGGCGGGGGCTGACTTTCAAACTGCTCCGCCGGCCAAAAAGATCGATTCTTTTACTCGGCCGTTGTCTGATATTTCCAGCTCTCTTCTTCTTCTTCTTTCCTGTTTTTCTTTTTTTTTTCTCGATCTGGGCTAAGACTATTTTACAAGCAAATGGGCCTAGTAGTCTAATTAAAAGCTAACTGGGCCTCTTTCTGCAAATTTGCTAAAATTTTGAATTTCTATCACAGCAATTATGAAACTCAGTAAACGCCCATTGTACATTTAATACATTCTTCATTTTTCGCCGGAGCAAATTCACAACTCATTTTTTCATCTTTTCTTTCACTGCAAATCACAGGCTAACGCATATAAGGTCAGATCACGACAGGTAATCGTTGTTATTTGTTCATGTAAATAAAGCAGTCTAAGTATGTATTTGTTAACATGCCTGTCAACTGTTCGATCAAAGTCCTCACTGAAATTTTAACACTGATGCAACCCAAAATTTATCCCTTTGGATGGAAATGGTGATAGTTAGTGCAAAATTCTTGTTTGGATTTGTTCTTGAAATTATATTGCATAGGGATTTTTATGCTTTTGTTTGTGTTATGGAAACCTTAATCGTGTTAGTTTTCATCAGCGAACATGCTCGATTTCTAGCAAGAAGTTATATAATTGAACGAACCCGCATTTGACATCAAGAATACGTGCAGCTACCTCACGCGTATACATTTATCTATTTCTGTAGTTTCTCTAATTTGATAGCATAACTTGATACCCCATGTCGAAGGTTAATTTTTTAAGTCAGTTTTACATTTATGATATTAGTTCACAACACCATTTGTCATCTGTATGTGTAAATACTCTTCAAAACCACTTTACATTCACAACTTTCTCTTCATTGCATATTGGCTTTTCTCTTTAATTATGTACATATTCATCGTAGTAACCTCACGGAAAGAAAAAGGCTCACCATATTCGTGTGCTGTAAACTTCCGCATTATATGGATAAGTAACTCCGTTTTGCATCTTCGATAGCCCTACATGCCCCTGCATCCCGTTTCTCGCATACTGCTGCCATAGTTGCTGCTCCTGCACCAACAACCTCTGCTTCCTCTCCATCTCAGGCATCTGCACGTAAGACGGCGGTGCAATGCCGACAGAGGCGGCAAATGGGTCGGCACCCCCACCATTAGGCGGCGGCAAGGCCAGCACGGTGGGCCCCACAGCCGACCTTACTGCTACACTGCTCGCACTTCCGTTTGCTGAACAATCCTTAGAATAGGCAGCAGCCATTTCGCCGTGTTTGTACATCCCATCAAGAATCAACGTATCGAAGCCTCCAGGAAGAGACGCCTTTTGGTTCGACAAATGGCTGACGGAATGAACCAACGCCGTTTCCCAATCTCCAGACGAGTCCTTAAAAGCTTCCCACGGCGGAGTATTAGTAGTAGTAGTAGTTGTCGTACTTTTCGAGCCGCAGTCGAATAAAGCTAAAGCCATTTTTTGCCCTTCTTCCGCGTGAGATGGTGCGTCTTCACTTAGGTTCAGCAAATCACCCACTTCTTGAGTGATTTTCTGATTCTTTACTTCATCTGTTTTTTCGTCCTCAAATCTTTCAGGTGGCGGCAAAGCCTTAATTGCGAACAAATCCTCTTGTGGTTCTGCTTCTTTCTTTTCTTCGATGGGCTTTGGTTTTGGCTTTGGCTTTGGCTTTGGCTCGGCGGTGCTGGCTCTCATTCTGTTCTTTGACATGGCCGATTTTTGGTGGATAAAGTCATCCATCATATCGAGTTTCTTCTGTGTGATTTTCTCGATGTAAGGATAATCGGAGAAGCGCATGATTCCGACAGTTCTGCCCCATTCATAGAAGGCGTCGAGCTCTTCGTACTGCTTCGAAAGATGGCAGAAGATCTCGTAGACACGCACCATATCGGGTATTTCGAGCTGCATGAACCGTTCGGTCAAGACAGCTGTTATTTCCGTTATGTCGGTGTATAGCTCAAAACTTTCCTTCACTATGTGGTGGAGTGCCACTGCCACAACCCTGTTATGTTTTGCTGCACCTATATATATATAGAAAAAAAGAAGAATCATTTTTTCGAACTTTATTTCACACAAAATAAATGGAAATCAAGAAAGATCGTGAATTTTGTTTACCGGCCGGTCTGCATGCTAAAAACCTCTCGAGAAGCTTCATCAGATTCTGAACCCTCGAGAAAACGGTCTCGTTCTTCATTTCACTCGTCGGAATATCCCCTGTCCCCTTGGCGGCACCACCACCACCACCGCCTCCATCTTCTTCCTCGTCCTCGTGGTAAGAAGAATAGCCTCCGTGTTTCCCATTTTGCCCTTGCATCCTCAACTCGAGCCTCTCGTCCAGGTATGCCGCGTACGCGCGGACAAACGACGAGTGGTCCCACGCGTCCGTCTTGCCCGACGCGTCCCGGAAGCCGGACACGTCGAGGAGGAGGCGGGCCCCGCGCCTCGTCAAGTAACAGGAGATCTCCCGCTCGTAGACGGCGGCGTGGAGGCGGTGGCGTTGGTCTTCCGCCACGTCGTCGGAGAGGAGGCGGTGGACGAGCATGAGGGTTTTTAGTGCCACCACCCAATTCTTGGTCTTGTTGAGGCGCTTCGCTATTGTGCGGATGCAGGCGTTGACGTGGGCCCGCGAGTGGGAGGTGAGGGTTATGATTTGGGAGACGTATTTGTCGTCGGGCGGGTATTCTTGGTGGCGGGTGGCCTTGACGACGGCGACATCGAGGGCGGAGATGGAGCGGCTGCCGCCGGCGAACTTGGCCAGGCCGATGCTCGTGTGGTCCTTTACGGCCCCAATAGCTTTTCTAATCTTGCTTGGGGCCATATATACATATGTATGTATATATATAGATATGTGAATGCAATGTTGAATATATGTATCAATCCAGACAAGATTTGAGATCAAATCTTGAGATGAGATTTGTAGATGAATTTGTTTTCCCCTTTCTTGTAGAGAAAGGAGAATAAACCTCTGTGATTCAGAGATGCTGTTTTTTTTTTTTTAATTTAATGAATGGATCTTCAAACCAGGTTTTTGTGTTTGGTTTTTCCCTTCTTTGGGTTTGACTCTCTTCTCTCTCTCTCTCTCTCTCTCTCTCTCTCTCTCTCTCTCTCTGTTTTCTTTTTAACCGTTAACTGTTAGCTGGAAAAGCGGAGACCCAATGGAAGTCAATTGACATTTTGTGGAGGTTTTGAAAAGACTTTTGAGGAAAGTGTTAATTTCTATTGATTTAATTTATTTTATTTTTGAAGAAGAAAAGGAAAGTGTAATTTTGAATGATTGGATTTCGATTGATCGGAGCGGAATTAGCAATTTGGTGAAGGAATTTTTTTTTTTTTTTTTAATTATTTTTGGTAAGTGAAAAACTAATTCCAATTACTTTTAAAAAAAAAATAGAAAAATTGGAAACTTGGATTTTGAAAATTAAAATGAAAAAAGTTGTTCCAAAAGAAAACTTGGGATTATAATTTGCGGAATTTTATACACATATGAATAAAAGAAAAAATACAAAATAATGAAATTAAGTGAATTAACATTGAGGGATTTTTATCGAAACAAATAAAAATAAAAATAAGCGGGTCATTTTTACAAATAAAATTACATACGAGGGACTTCAATCAAAATTGCCCCTAAATTTACCCTAAACGCGTCGTATACACCAAGCCACTTGGTTCTGATCAGTTAATCAAAGCATCTATCTATAGTCTATACCCATACCCTTAAAATCGAACGGTCAAGATCCATCAATTATTTGATCGACGGACAAGAATCAAGCTCCGCTCCCACGCCAAATTTCCACGCTGAATACATATCCGCGAATTACGGAGTTCTCCAGATTCATCTTCCAGGGTTTTCTCTTTCGATTTATCGGCACCATTTTCTTCTAGTACCGGCGCCTCAGGTACAATCGATTTCTGCGTTTCAAGTATTCTTCGCCGATCGATCTGGATTAAAGTTTATTTTTTTTTTCGAATTTTACTGGAATTATTTGCTGTTAGCCGATTTTTTTTTTTTTTTTTTTTTTTTTTGTTATTGAGTCGATTTTTGTGGTGCTGAGAACGATAATCGCGGAAGAAACTGAAGTTCAATTATAGTTTGCTAATTTTGGTTTTGTTTAATTTTTTTTTCCTGTGGAAATTGGCTCAGAAACTAATAAGTAGGTTGGGTAGGAACTAGGAATCGAAGCGTTGGATTAGTGTTATTTAAGGTTTATGGTAAGAGAATTGGCAAGCTGAAATTTTTCAATTTGGTTATATGCTTATAGATTTCTGAACCACAATTAGAAACTGAGTTATTGTGGAGATATTGTGTTTATGTGGTATAGAGTTGGTAAAAAATCGAGTTCGAAGTGAAATCGTATTATGTTGTTGCAGTTGTGCTTTGTGACTCCTTTAGGCTTTAAGCATATTCGTTGAACGAATCGAAGTTGTAAGGAGAATTAGAATCCTGTTTAAAACTCTCACAAACATCGAAATGTGCACGTAAAAGTCTTAACTGTAATTGTTTGCTTGTCCTAATTTTTTCTCTCGAAAACGACGAGAAGTATTACCATGCGTTATCTTTTGGAAAACATTGGATTGTGAAATGTGCTACAATCTATGTTCTCTGATTGGGTTTTTTTTTTGGAAGAGAAGTAGTTTGAACGATGTCAGATGAAGTTGAGTATCGATGTTTCGTTGGTGGGTTGTCGTGGTCAACATCTGATCGAGGTCTGAAAGAAGCATTTGAGAAGTTTGGACATCTTGTTGAGGCAAAGGTAATCAATCGGCTTTTGTTAATACATTGAAGTTCTTAATTTTACAAAAAAAATTAATTGTTTGTCGTTGACAAATAGCTTACGAGAATTAGAATTCCATTTATTGTCTTGTAACTTGTGATGCCAGTAAAAGAAGAAAAACATGTATTGCTTAATTAATTGCTACGATAATTCACGTAGAAAAGAAATAACTGCATACAAAGTGCTTGCTTTATATCATCTTTTCTTGTTATGTATCATCGTTTCTGGTCTTTGTTGAGATTTAAAAATTGATTTCCGACAATAGGTTTCTCATCTTGAATGGGCTCTATTTTTCGATGTAGGTGGTTATGGAAAAGGAATCTGGGCGCTCTCGTGGCTTTGGATTTGTCACCTTCGATGCGAAGAAAGCAATGCAAGAGGCAATCGAAGCTATGAATGGGATCGATTTAGATGGTCGAAACATAACTGTTGACAAAGCTCAGCCTCAGCAAGGTTCAGGCAGAGACAGAGACAGGGACTATGACAACGACCGCTCACGTGACAGAGGACGCGATCGTGGAAGTGGGCGGGGAGGCGGCGGCGGTGGTGGAGATTGTTTTAAGTGCGGCAAGCCAGGTCACTTTGCTAGGGAGTGTCCTAGTGAGGGAGGAGCTAGAGGTGGTAAATATGGTGGCAGAGATGACCGTTATGGTGGTGGTGGTAGAGATGACCGTTATGGTGGTGGTGGCAGAGATGACCGATATGGTGGCGGCAAAAGTGGCGGTGGCGGTGGTTATGGCCCTGACCGGAATGGAGATCGAAATGGAGGACGTAGCAGGGAAGATGGTGGCCGTGGTGGAGGAGGTGATCGATACAGCCGTGACCGTTCTGGGCCGTACGATCGCCGTGGTGGTGGTGGTTTTCGATCTGGGTAATTTACTCCTTTTTTTTTTATCATTTGTGATAATATGAGAATCTTGTTAGTATATTTATGGAAACAAATTTTTTTCGTATTGTATTGGGACAGCTGAAGATTTTGAGGTGGTCAGGCTCCGGAATGCAGTTGTCATGGTGAAGTCTTCTCGTGGCAATCTCATTCGTAAAAAAGTGGATGAAAAACTTTTGAAAGTGTGAAACCTGGCTAAATATCTACTATGTTGTGTACCTGAGATGATGTTCTCTTGTGTTGATTGGGGTCCGTTTGATTACTTGATGTGCAAAAACTCGAATCTGATGTTACTATTTAAAAAATGCTATTTTGCTGCTCTGCTTCGTTGTCTGCTTTCTTGCTTACATTCGCATGGCAACTGCACCGTATATGGTTCATGGAATGAGGTCTAATTCGGAATTGTTGGGTTTGTTAATCGGGTAATTTTCCATTTTTTACATTTCTTTATTTTTTTAATTATCTTTCCTGAGACTTAAAGTTAGATCTTTATTAATAATGTCTGTGCAATATTAATGTTGCTCAACTTTTGGCAGGCGGCCTGAGTAGTAAAAATGGCCCTTTTTGGGAAAGTTGATGTTTGGCCTGCTTTTGCTAATTGGCTTCGTTTAAAATGTTAATTAACTCGAAAAAAAGTTTTTGGATGTTAGTTCGATAAGTCCTATGCAAGTTCTATCGTTCTAAGTGGATGAGGGACAAAGTTGCGTTCGTCTGAAAATAAAATGAGCAGCTACCGTAAATAGTCTTCAGCAACCTTGTCTCACCTGTTTTGCCACGGTTCTGTCTGATGTCGTTTTTTCTCGAGACAAAGTTGTCCTTCTGTTTACGTTCTGTCCCGGTTAGCTGAGTTTTGCAAAGAAACTACTTGTGCCTGTGTGTGATATTTCTGTGGAAGATTGGTCGGAATATACTACTAGAGTTTGCCCTTTTGCTTCATGCCTTCGTAATGCAGAACGAGTTCAGTATCTCTGTGTCTGCAGTCATTCTCATTTTTTTTTCTTACATTGTTCCGACATCAAATGGGACAAATCTGTTGGATTTCGAATGTTCTTCCGTTTATGACTTTTTTATCCCGTTGGAGGTCTTGAATCATTTAATTTTATTTTTTTCACGTACTATTTGCATGTTTATCATATTTTCAGTCACATGTTCGTACATACGACACATTCGCAGAAATAGGCATATTTTTTGTCACTTTGTTGAGCAATTTTCTGTTGTGATGGACGAATACTAATACTAGATAGATTCTACTGAATTTTCTTTACGTTGCTCTGCCGTTCCGTTGTCAGTTATTGAGCTGATGTTTCTGGAGAGTCTCGTCTTTTTTATTGTAAAATGTTTTGTGATTTTATGTTTTGTTTTTCATCGTCTATGATATACATTTTAACACAACCACTGAAACTAATAATAGCTTTGTTATGATCCACTGCTTTCTCGCATCATCGTTTGTACGAAAGGGAAATACGTTTAGGTTCGTACGTAAATATGTATTCAAGTTTTAATAAAATGTAATTGTCTACCAGTTCCCCTTTTAGCCTAAAAGCACAATGGTTTCCAGAACAATTAATTTACATGTTTCTTGGTATTGCAGAGTTGAGATTAAATGACATTACATTGACCAACCATCAAGTAAAGTCAACTATTTAATTAGTAACCGTTTATATTGTAATCAAAATCTTTAAAGTTCAAAATCATTCAATCACAATGAAATTTTATTTCACATTTCAAAATCACATAAAAGAAGGTAAAATCAACATGTCACATTTCCAGACCACTAGCACCAAGCAACCTAGTAAGACCAAATGTAATAGCCATAGCCATCCATCCTCCAACCAACACCCTACCGCAAGACCTCCCGACTCGAGTCTTGCCAAGCACCGCCCCAACCCAGCCAAACACCACCAGCATCAGGGTGGTTGCCGCCACCACCACCGCCAGCCTCACCTCATACTCCGTCACAAAGGCAGCCGCCAGCAAAGGCACAACAGCACCCAACGAAAATGCAATGGCCGAAGCAAATGCAGCTTGAAAAGGGTTGGGCATATTTTTCCCACTCTCTTCGCTCGTTCCGTTAATTCCGGCCACTCTCTTCATCTGGGCTCTCTCAATATCCAACTGAGAGTAGACGGAAACGAACTCGCCTATAGCCATGCTACAAGCACCGGCACAAAGACCTGCAAATCCCGTTAGAATCATGGCCTTAACATCGTCTTTAACAGCTCCAACTCCCATCATTAGTGATGCAATCGACACTAATCCATCATTGGCTCCCAATATAGCAGCCCTAAGCCATTGTGACCTTTGCGAGTAGTCGAACTCATCTACCTCGTTTCGATCTGCATTGTCTTTGGGGATCGTGATTTGGACTTGGTTTGCCGAAGCCATGAAAAAGAGAGGCTTTTTTTTTTTTTTAGGTTATGAATATGCAAAGTTGGCTCTGTGTTGAAGGTACTGAGTATGAATATATGTGAAGGGGTGTTATATATATAGAGGAGGAAAGAGGAGCACAAGTCTCGGTGGATTGATAAATTATATTATTATTTCTAATAAACTAGCTCTAAAATCTCGGCAGCCCTCTATTATACTAACAATGTGACGGGCGTCGATCTTTTATTAATTTATGGAGTCTTTTCGTATCTCCGATTTCTTATTTCTTATATTCCTCAGGAAGATCAAGAAGAAAAATCTATACTTCTACCTGTCCAAGTTAGCAAAATTCTTCTAAATTTGTTATATTAGAAAATATGACACCTAGACCAAGAATTTCAGACATAAAATCCTAAAACATGTGGATTTAAAACATAAAATCATAATCATTCAAATAAACAATAATGATATTAAAAAATAAAAAAAAAAAACATACGCAGATGGATTGCTGCTGTGGAAAGCACTTGCAGCTTTCCACAAATGGAGGTTTGTGGACAATACACCAAAGGATATTAAATAGGACGAAGTGTGTTCTCCACACACTAAGTGGGGGAGAATATGCCGTTAGATTATTTGAGCAAGTGTGCATTCCACACAAAATCCACGAGCCTCACTAATATATTCGAATATAGTGCACAATGTTGGTTACTATATATTGTTTATTTAAATGTATTCATGCTTTTTGCAAAAAATAATGCAGCTGCACAGTCGAGCGCACATAAGAAATGATCTACTTATCCAACATGCTCTAAACCCTCATGTACACTGAACGTAGTATTTCGTTCTTAACATCTGACCTGATTCACTAGAACCGAAACTCGAGTCTATATCGAATATTATTCACTTGAACAGAAACTCCCGTTTCTTCTATTTCAGAGCTGTTTAATAATACTTAGGTTAAATCAATTGTTGAATTTGAAAGCTATGCATGGAGATCTAGTCGTTACCAAGTAGGCACAGCGTTCACTGTTTGCACCACATAAGACCGAGTAAAAGCGCTTTTTATAGTCTAAAATACAACATGATGAGATTTTCACAAACCACAAATTTGAATGGATGTCATACAAATACAATAAAAGAAAAATGCACAATATTCTTACTCTTTGTCGTATTTTTACAGTTTCCGCACATGCTCAATTTGCTGAAGGTGTAGATAGTGTTTTGCAGCAACCGACCTCGTGGGATCTTTATTTACATCATCTGCACAACGGGAAATGAAAATTACAGTACCATACTTTCACAAGTTTATTATGAGCACAAACTAGCTTTAAACAAACTTAGCAAGTAATTACACCAAACCTCGTGATAATTTTTTGCAATTTACAATGAAATTTTTAACAAAGGTACATGGGCAGGTTACAAATAGCACACATAAAATACTTCGATATAAAAGCAGAGTTAAGATTCTCAACTATATTGCACATTTTTCATTAGTAACATATAACATTATGCTACTTTCACTTCACACGATATGTGGAGAACTAGAAAATAACTAACCATTTTAATTTCTCGTAGTCGGGATATAACTTTTTTCATAATATATATAATAGGCCAAGTTTCTAGAGAAATTGTGCTCTGATCACCAGCAAACTACAGTCTGATAATAACTAAAAAGTAACTTTCTCGCAGATGGGATATTATTTATTTTAATAGATAAGGCAAATTCTTTGATAAATTGTGCTTCGTTTATCAATGAACTACAATGATTGTATTTATAAGCTAAACCCAGTGATTCTCTCTATAAGCTAGTTCGTTACTCTCTACATTCTAACATATATACTGTAGAATCAAAACATCTTTAATCGCTATAGCTGGACACGATTAATGGATAAAAAGAAACCTTAAAAGTGATAAAAGAAGAAATGTATATGGAGGACATGGGGTTCGAGATTAAACCAGAATACGAGTACAGAGCTAAGCAAAGAAGAAACAATATACCGACTCCTATTTACAGCTTTTCCACTTCATATTTTGCTCAACAAGGGCTGTGCTCAATAATTGCCTAATGTCAGAAATGGTTTTCAACCAATTTATCGCATATTTTTTCACCCAAAACCACGAACAATTTCAGCAAATAAAGCTACGGAACTCAAAATTCCATATCAGAACAAGTTTCTCAGCAAATGTCAAATGAAATTTGATATTCTCAATACATCAACAATACATTTCATTTAATATTCAGCAAATAGCAATTACTATTGAATATTGCAAAGTTCACACACATCAACAATACATTTCATCAGTTAAGGAGACGAAGTAAGTTGTGTATGTTCATTTACCTGTTCACTTAGGTAGATCATTAGTAAGAGGAGCCGGATTTGAATCTCTTCACCCTCTTAGAATACTTGAGATGATAGCGATCATGGTCTTGGTTACCAGACCCATTCGGCAAAATCAACTGGCCATCACATTTGGCAGAACAACGAGCCTCGCAGCCACTTAATGCAAGTCCAAAGGGCTGATTTTCACTTAGAGAAGTGCTATAATGCAAAAATCTTGGGTCTGATTTTGTACCCGTAACTCTCTTAAAATACTTCCAATGATAAGGGTCCTGCTTTGCATCACAACTCCCATTTGGCAAAATCACCTCAGAATCACTACCGACTGGACAACTTGTCCTAAGATTCTTCGCATCATCTGATTGAGAGTCACTTAAACCAGGTTGCGCAGAGGCCTGCTTTACACTTAAAAAGGTACCACATTGCATGAAAAATGAGTTTGATTTCTTGCCTGTAACTCTCTTAACATACTTCCAATGATACCGGTCCTGCTCCGAATCACAATTCCCATTTGGCAAAATCACCTCAGTGTTACTATCGACTGGACAACTTGTCCTGAGATTTGCATCGTCTGGTTGACAGTGCTCAGGGTCACTTAAACAAGGTGCAGATGCCTGATTTTCACTTCGAGACGTCTCATGATGCAGAAAACTCGAGACTGATTTGGTACCTGTAATTCTCTTAACATACTTCCAATGGTAGGGGTCCTTCTCTGCATTACAACTCCCATTTAGCAAAATCACCTCAGCATCACAACTGACCGAACAAGTTGTCCTCGGATTTGCATCATCTGATCGACAATATTCCGAGTCACTTAAACCACGTGCAGAGTCCTGATTTTCAGTTCGGAAAGTACCATAATGCTGGAAACTTGAGTCTGGTTTGGCACCTGCGGCTCTCTTAACATACTTCCAATGATAGCGGTCCTTCTCTGCGCCACAACTCCCATTTGGCAAAATCACCTCAGCTTTATCACCAACTAGTTGACAACATTCAGAGTCACTTAAATCAGGTGCAGCGGCCTCATTTTCATTTCGAAAAGTACCAAAGTGCATGAAACTCGAGTGTGATTTGGTCCCTGTAACTCTCTTACTATATTTCCAATGATAGCGATCCTGCTCTGCATAACAACTCCCATTTAGCAAAATCACCTCAGCATTACTATTGACTGGACAACCTGTCTTAAGCTTTGCATCGTCTGATTGACAAAATTCAAAGTTGCTTAAACCAGACGGAGGAGCCTGGCTTTCACTTAAAGTGCCACTGTGCAGGATGTTCGAGCCTGATTTGGCACCTTTAACTCTCTTCACATACTTCCAATGATATCGGTCAAGCGCTGCACCACAACTCCCGTTTGGCAAAATCACCTCCGCATCACTATTGACTACACCGCTTATTCTAAGCTTTGCATCGTCGGATTGACAGTACTCAGATTCGAAGGCTATGCTATGGTTATCGCAAGAGATGCATTCTCCAGAAACACCAAGCAGGCCATCTACTCGGCATACCTTCTGCTTCGACTTACAGCGAGTGCGCTTGTAATATACAAGCTCTTTCCCGAATCTATCAACGCAGTTAAAAGTATTACTTCGACCAGCATCAACACTCTCCATAGAACACCATATCTTCCTCTTCTTATCCCGTTTGTAAGGTATCAGTCCTCGATTTAATCCACTAAAATCACTACAAGAATCTTTGCCCGCAACACATGCTCCAAGCTTGTGCACTTCAACCTGATTTTTTAACGCAGATCTCTTATAAAACAAACCATTCCAATTCCTAATATTCGAAACATCTAAAGCATTCGAACTCACCAAACCCTTACCCCTCAAAATTCTCGGCGAACTATTCATAGCTCTATGCAATCGTATAGCCAATTCGGCATCATCAGCCTTCGGGCAATCTTTTTCAATTTCAGAACCGATCGCATCGGTCACCATCTTCACCTTCTTCTCCGGATTCCCCAACAAATCTTTACCCCCACACTTACCTTTCAACCCACCCTTATTCTCACTCCTCCCAGAAACTGTAGTCGAATTCTTCAACAAATCAGGAACCCAACAATCCACGCAAACCCTAAACCCATCCAACCCAGCACCCAAATAACACCACGGCCTGCAATTCTCATAATCCCTAACGCAATCCTTATGAATTTTGCCCCCACACACAGTGCATTTAAAAAGATCACCTGGATTTCCGGTTTCGCGAAAGCAGTAAGGACAGGTTTTCCCGTTATGAACCTTCTTCCGGCATTTTCTACAGAGGAGCACGATGCGCCAAAAGCTGTTCATTGGTTGGAGGCGATCGTTAGGGTTGGTGTGGTTAATTCGGCGGCCGCAGCAATGGCAATCGGACAAATTGGGCTGGTCGCGCGTCCTCTTCTCAGGCGGCGGCGCGTTGTTGGTGGAGGAAGAGGAGGCGGAGTTCGGCGGCGCGATGGCCGGCCCGGATTTGGGCTTCGGGTCGGGTATCAGAAGCTTCTTCGAAGAGGAGGGCGCCATCTTCATGCGGTGATGGATCTTCATCTTCTACAGATTCATCTCTGCTAAAGCAGAATCAACAATTTCAACGAATTTTGTAGCTCTGTTGATTTTGCTCGATCGAAATCATCCAACCAACTGACATTCAGTTAGGGTTTTAGGAAGTAAAAAAAAATAAAAAATTATTTTTCTACAGTTTTCTAATTTTGCGGTGTTTGTAGTAACTAAACGACTGTTTGACTGAAGATTAAATATTTAAGAAAAAGGCTAAATTCCATTTTTCCCCCATTTACTTTGACTCGATATCACTTTACTCCTTCAACTCTGGATTGCATCGATTTGCTCCCCTGCACTTGAAAAATTATCTCAATGTGGCCCATCGTCGTTACTTTTCAGACATTTGGCCTTAACACCATTTGATCTACGACTGAAAATTACAAAAAAAATCATCCCTCCAAATTTAAATAATTATTAAAAAATTAAAAAATAAATAAATAATAAACTGTGGGTGCCGTGGACTATAATTTCTCGATGTCTTGATTTTTTTTTTTAATTTTTAATTTAATTTTTTTTACTTGTTTTAATAATTATTAAACTGAGAAGGGTGACATTTTTGTAATTTCAGAGCTTAGACCAAACGGTGTTGAGGTCAAATGTCTGACAATTAACAGCGAGGGCCACATTGAGACAATTTTGAAGTGCAAGGGAGCAAATCGATACAATCTAAAGTAGAAGAGGGTAAAGTGATATCGAGGCAAAGTAGAATGGGAGAAAATGAAATTTACACTATATTTGAGCGAAAATGAAATTCCAACTAGTATTTTTATTAATTAACAAAGTATAAAAACTGTTCTAAATTTATTCAGAAAAGATGTCAACCATTGACTTAATTGAAGCCAATGTATTTTGTAATTGGTGCATAAGCAATCTAGAAAAAAGCACATTTGATCAGATATATGAGTTTACAACATGTTTAAAATAAGCTAATCAACTCTTAAATAATGTAGTACCAAATATAATTTAGACCAATCAAATCACAATAATCTCAAACTTGCAAAAAAGGCATATTAAACTCAATACCACAATTCTTATTTTTTCTTTATTGATACCACAAAGTCTCCAAATCTCAACAAAATCAATGTAGCCAAGGAGTTATCTGCATAGCCATCATCAATTCGTCGCGAAAAACGCAACAAAATGAATCGCTATAGGGTTTTTTTTAAAGGACGAAAAGGGTAATTTGTCTCTAGGAAATACCGATTGAGGTTTTCTTTTTACTTAAGATGAGAAAATAGCTTACTGGCAGCCTGTATAAAGAACAATTTCAGAAATGAATCAGTACACAGTTACAAAATTCCGGAACAAAAACGAGAATAGTTGGCAAAAACAATATGTAAGCAGGAAAACGAGGCTTACACATTTGTCAACACAGCGCCAGTAGTCAAAGTATTGTCCGGTGCAGTGTTTGTGTCCAGAATCATCACCGTCAATTCTTTTAGCACAAGCCTATCAACAAAAAAGCAGATTAGCATTCATGCAACAAAGTCGTTTTGCAGATTGAGCGGTAAAAAAATAGTTCCGTTTAGAGAGTATGAACTTCAACAAGTACACGAGATTAATGAAAGTTCACAATTCAGAACCCAATCTTAACTATCAAATATGCAAACATAAACATGGAATGTTCGTACCAAAGATATACTACAGACAGTGCAATATACATTATATCTTGCACCGACAGAATTTTGAATTGAAGGTACAATTTGATATTTACACGGCTTTCACTAAATTCATCGAAATACCCACAGCTTCGATTACTGACTCACTATACTTTGGGATCATATCTACAATTTCTTGTTCACTTTTGTTTTCAACGAAATAAAAATGTTGAAGTCATTTAGAACTCTTCTTGAAACTTGGAAGCATACGAGGGTCACATGCATTCATTGCGCTATTGAACCAAAGACTAAATTGCGGTCAATTAATTGAATATAAAAAACAAATCAAATATACTTGTCAAATCAAAACATTTACCAATCTACAGTAGACTGGAATCCCCCAAGGACGACTTCATTTCAAAATTTTTTAGTATTAAAGTTAATTTCAGTAAAGATGAGTTTAGATATATTTACTTAATTGATCTGAACACGAACGAGTGAAACATCGGAGACTACCACTATGCTGAAGACAGATGCAGAAGAAGTAATAATTGCTACGATCTTGCTGGTTTCATTTAGTTTGGACAACGAGATCTTTTAAAGAATGACGAATGAAGATACACGACATAACCAATTATGAACCGTTCATTTCAAAATGCAACAAACACGAATTTCAACCGACAACAGCACTTCGAATCCCCGATTTGATTGGACAATCAATACGTAAGAAGCATTACGATGTGATGACAAAAGTGTTGCCTATCAAAAAAATTACAACTACCCACTGCAAACTACTCTGCCAGGAAACTTTAGGTGTGCCTCTATTGAGATGGAAATAGAACCCAAAAGCAAATGAAAGAAAGAACACACAAAAGAACGAAGAAAGGCCCGAAAATAACTCGTCCATTGATATTATGCATATAACGCAAGAAAACGAACTATGAATAAAGTGAAGCAGATTGAACACCATACAAGAATGAGTTAATTTCCAATAGAAATCACCTTATATTCTTTAAGTGGCCTTGTGCATGGTGCCTTGCATCGGTCTTCAAGCTCCCTCTTTGGATCTACAGGCTCGTCGTCAGCCCTAAATGACCATACGAAAGTACAAATAACAAATTCAGCCTAAGCAGCTAAACAATGACATTGCATTATCAGTCACGACAAAGCATCTGTTCAGTGTTTGCAGAAAAAATAAATGGTCACGTTTGGGAAATCGACGAGTTTATTCGTTTCAAAGATTGCTCAAGCTTCTATAAAGGTTGAAATCTTCCACACGTAAATGGAGCCTTAAGTGACCATTAAAAAGTTCAAATAACAAATTCAGCCTAAGCAGCTAAACAATGACATTGCATTATTGGTCACGAAAAAAAAAGCATATGTTCAGTGTTTACAGAAAAAAGAAATGGTCTTGTTTGGGAAATCGTCGAGTTTATTTGTTTGAAAGATTGCTCAAGGTTCTTTAAATGGCTGAAATCTTCCACACGTAAATGGAGCATTCACAAAAAAGCTACACTCGTAAACGAATAAACTAATTCTCATTCTCAAAAACGAATAAACTAAATCTCGTTCCTAAGTATAATAACTCTTGAAGCATATGCATCAGTAATGGGGATTCAAATCCTACCGGGTGCGTTTATCGTAAGGCAAATTTTTATTTTTTAAAAACAATTCTCGAAGCATATGCGACAATTTTATCAAACAGAATCCTACAAAAAAATCGAAAAGATCAGCTATTGAGTATACATTTTCTATCGAAAAGGCTTGACTTTCGGCCATTGCCACACTCCAAGTAACTTGTAGAAATTCAACCAAATCAAACACATGATGGAAAGATATACAATTATAAGGACGAAATTTAGAAAGAAAAAAATAAAAAATGAAACAATACTTACATAGTTAAAACGTAAGAGATCGAGCGAAAGCAACCTGAAAATAAAATATAAAAAAATTGACAAAATCCACTCATTCAAACCGCGGAAAATATAAAGCACACACAGTAATATACGTCGACAGAAACCCTAGATTCGGAAAATGAATGATCGGATGAATGAAAAAATTGGATCTGGGTAAACAGGAAATTTGTGAAAATTACAGTGACTCACCGGAGGGGATGAGGGTTTGCGGCGGAGTTAGGGTGGAGATAGTGAGGAGGAAAGCGTAAAGATTAATTTGTGAAGGGGAAAAGTAGGTTTGGGGGGATCTGGTTGGGTAAACTAACGTGCGCCAGGTGCGTAGGCTACGCCGTTGAACGGTTCCATTTCATTACGAAACTGAAATTACCAAAATGCACCTAGAGGGTCAATGAGCTCCTTTGACCGTTTTTTTAAACGTGTTAATTTAATTTTTTTAATAAATGTTTTGATACTTTAGAGTTTAGGTGTTTGATGAATGAAACATAGTTTAGGGGTGTAAAATGTAATTAAGCCAACATATTATGAACTTTTTTTATTTTATTTGGGTCTATGCCCATCACATGATAAAAAATTCACAATATATTCCTCCTAGTGAAATAATAAAATTTGCAGTTGCATCCTCATAATTCTTGATATTTCCAAGCATGTTTTCGTTTTCTCTGGTTCTCTAATTCTCTAATTTTACTAATCAAACCTCTTTTTTAGGTGATTTGTATTTCGGTAATGTGTATCAATGATTTCATATGAACAATGAAAAATGTGCAGGTTACTCGAAAGGTATTAGATTAGAAATAGGTGATGTTAATGCATGTGAAACACCACGATAGTAACTAAGTTTCATGTTAAGGATCTGAGTGCATTAGACGATAATTGTACCATTTGGGTCAGATGTTTTTTTCTTATTTTTAATATAACAATTTTCGTATTTTACATTTTTTTATCACTTTTTTTTGTTTAATTTGATACTTAAATCAATTGGAATGTATATTATTTTTATAGTTTTGGGATTATATCGTATTATATATCAACTATTCAAAATTTACGTTCGTTTATTTTATCTAAAAAGTATTTTATTTTTTAAAATTGCCCCGATTAATTGCATCGCACGGGTGGAATACTAGTTTTCTATAATTCTCTAATTTTATCACTCAAAACTCTTTTTTTTTCTTTATAATTTTTTTCGTTAAAACAATGAAATAAACATAAAAAAGTTTATGATAAAAATGCCATTAATAATACGAAAATGATAAATACATGATGACTTTTCAAACACATCTCATTTAGCAATTATTTCCATTCAGTTCTTACTTTATAATTTGATATTATAAACACGTAAAAAACGTTATTGTGTGAACTTAATGAAATTGAAATATGAAATTAATAATGACTCAAATATGTATATAGGTATATGGTTAATCATATCCTATTAAAATTGTAAAACAATATATTAATTATTTCAAGGTATATAATATAAATTGAATAGTGTGGATGTAATCAAACAAGAAAGAGACTTAAAAATTCTACAAGATAAAAAAACATAAGGATTTAATTTGATTGAATTAAGTGACAACAAAAACAATACAAACATTTATCAAAAGCATAATTAAATGAATTTTGTTCCACTTCCACACCACTCTATTATATGGTTTCTTCTAGGCGGCAGCCACCGCTGGTTTTGGTGGTTCTACTTCATTGGCGGCGGCGGATTTCTCCTCCACCTTGGCGGCAGCTGGTTCAGAGGCCGCCGGAAGTACCTCAGCCTTCGATTCTTCGCTCTTGCTCTCTTTTGCTGATTCACCCTGCGAAAAGAAAAAAAAAAAAAAAAGCATTACTATTTACTATAACAATAAATTACTATAACAATAAAAAGGGCAAATTACGGCCATCCTGAGGTCATGGAAAATTACGAAAAAAAAAACCCTCTTGTTTCCATAACTACAATCACCTATCAACTATATATTGTCTTCACATCCACTCTTAGAATGTCAAATTTACCTAGGGGTGTTCATCCAGTCGGTAAACTGATTGAATCGAACCGAACTAAAATTCGTACATGCCGATTACCGAACCGTTATTTCTGTGTGATATTCAGTTTTATTTTACTTTTTATATATATGTAATATTAGTATTTAAACTAACATTAATTTAAAAAAATCAAAATCAAAATTTTAAATATTTGTAATAACATTTTGGTAATTTGGTTATTTATCGAACCAAACGTTAAACGATATGAAATTTTGGCGTACCTCAATTTCTGTACAATTTTACCGAACGAACGCCCCTAAATATATCAACCGGAGGGATTTTTTTATAAGATAATACATAATTGATGAAGTGTTTGTAATTATGCAAACATGAGAGGTTTTTTCGTAATTTAACCTTACTCTGGGTGATTGTACAACAACAAGAATAATAATAATAATAAATAAATAAATAAATAATAATAATACTAACCTCAACAAGCAATGTCCCAAGAGACTGATCACTTTCCTCTACCACCTTCTTCTCTTCCTTCTTATCATCGCCGCCTTCCTCCTTAGCGGCGTCGGCCACTGCCGCCACCTCGGTTGCTGGAGTTACCTCCTTTGGCTGCTCCGGTGGTGGTGCCACGGCGGTGGCTTCATCCTCCTTCATGCCCTTTGGTGCACTAGCGCAAGCACCCATTTTCAGTTTCTTCTCTCTCTTTCCTTAAACAAAAAAAGTCAACGTAACCCTTCTCTCTCTACCGTAAGATTTTAGAGAGAGAAAGATTGCCAGGAGAGAGAAAGAAGATGCAGAGGTGCTTACAATGTTGTTTCCCTGAGTACGAGGTTTATATAATTGTTTATTCAGGGTGACGATCTGTGGTGTGGAAATATTGTAGGAAAGTCAACGGCGACCAATTTGTTTCCTTTTTAGTTGAATTTTGCGCCACTTAAATTTTATTATATTACAACTATCTGCCCTCAAGTTAGTGGTAATCACAATTAGATCATTTCTAATTTAAAAAATTACACATACCTCCCTTATAAAGTGTAATTAATTAATCATATATAGCTAAATCTTTATACCTTAATACAGTAGAGACTATTTTTTTTTATTATTAATTTAGTGAAATATTAATTTATCGAACTAATAATTTAGTATTTTTTATCGGGTCGGGACTGAAATGAATTATTATTTAAGCAATGTTATTAATTTATGGAGTATTAATTTATCGAAGTTATACCGTAGTATGCATATATACCCTAGCCGATTTATAATAATTGCAATAAATTTTAGTCCTTCCTTCTCATTTGGCTAATACACACGTATTAAGAAAATTTAGTAATGTGCATGAATAGTAGAAAAATCACACTTGTTAATTATTTCACAATTGATTGTCTTAACGGTAGTAAGGACGAAATTGAGAAACTCACACTAAATAAATTATTGAAGTTTTAAACGTGATAACTAATTTAAAACAAACAAAATTCCCCCAAAAAACAAATAAAATGGGAACGAGAGAACTGCAATGTTTTTAAAATCGGATCGAACATTCACTCCAATACCGATATTATGATTCAACCGGTCAAATCAAACCGGACTAGGCCGGTTCAACCAGTCGGTTCGGTCAGAATTTCTAATCTGATTTCTAATCACTCAGAGAAGTATATAAAAAAAGTTGATATAAATCTTTTTTTGCTGCGGTTACAAGCAATACTAGTTCCATTAAGTGCAGGACTATAAAAAATATATATATCATTATGTACAAATACTATAATACCCCTACTTGATAAAAAAATCAAATTAATGCAACTATAAACTAAAAAAATCACAAAACCGCAAGACCAAATTATCATGTTCTTCATCTTCCAAAACCCACAAAACCTCAACATTCAAGACCCTCAAAACTCAGAAAATCTTACAAAGAGGGCAAGTATGGAGTCAAAAGACATTAAAATGAAAAATTCTAAGGTGGAGAACACACTCAGGTATGCATTTATGTGTTTTATTAGCTAATTTTTCGTTTTTGGAAAAAAAAACCACCCAAGCGCAATTCGACATTTTTACATGTCGAATTTTGGGAAACTCTTATTTCGACATCTAAGTCGATTTTTGTCATATTTGGTACAATATAATATCATTTGTTGAGCCTAAAAACAAAACAAAAATATTTAATTTGTCGATGAAATTTCCCTGTCAAAGAGATTGTATGGTGTAACAATAATATATATCTCGTGATAATTAAATTAGGTTTTATGATCATGAGATGCACGCAATGTTTCTGTATACCACTATTTGGGGAATTTAGATTTGATTCCTTTTTTTATTACCATTTTTGCACAAAAAAGATTTAAGGTCAACTCAATTTACTTTCTAATGTATTAGGATTACGATGTTGTCCTTTAGGCAATTTAAGGTTAACTAAAAAATACATATGAATATGATCATTGGGAATGTTATTGCAATATTACATTTAATTTAATACCTGATTTTAAAGCTTATAAGTTGTTAAAAAATGTTTGATAAATTTTAAAGAAAGATCTTAAATTTTTAAAAAGTAGGGTAAATTATAACCACTCTCTGAGGTATAAATGTATAATCAAATTACGAAAAACCACTTTCTATTAAGGTAATTACAATCACCCTCTCAACTATAAATGTTCTTACACGTTCACCCTTGCGGTTTCAATTTAGTAGAATATTCTAGATTATACGGAATATTCTCAATTTTGTACCCGTTTAATCTCATTGGAGCTCCACATATTGAAGCAAGATGATCATAAGATGTGTTTTTTGGCTTGTATATATCAGATTGTGGTGCATCAGAAACTGTATTTTTGCACAAAATGAGTACAAATATGGAATATTCCACAGAATCAAGATGATTATATTGAATTTGACACCATAAGAGTGGAGATTCATAGTTGAGGGTAAATGTAATTATCCAAACATGATGAGTTTTTTCGTAATTTGATCATACCCTAAAAAGTTATAAGTTGTTAGTAATCTTATAACCCGTTTTTTAAAAAATATCTACACCTCAAAATAATTTATCCTCGACTACTTTATTATATTACATGAATACTACTACCATATATACATATATTTTTCAAACAACATTTTCTTTTAATCAAGGTTAATATTAATAATTACTCAAAATATAATTATAAGACTTATCATAATAATTGTAAAATAAATTATTCTCTATTTATAATTTATACATATTTAAAATTACCCAAATATTCTTATTATCTCAACAATAAATTACATTAATTTAAAAAAAAAAATAAGAAAAGACCCTTGTAATCAAGGGAAAAAGAACCATTTTTTTTTCCTTTTCTTTTTATTTTTCTTTCGCATGCATCTCAAATTATTTCTATGATTTCATTAACAATCGGGATTATATTATTCCCCCCTCTCTCATTCACATAATATTTTTATTTATATATTTATAGATACATGCACAATTGCAAAAAAAAAAAAAAAAAAAAAACAATAATAATAAATTATTTATATGAGAAATGGAGAAATGCAATTTCCACATGCATATATACATGTAATTTGAACTTTTCCTCTTCCTATGAAAAATGAAAAAACCCCCCTTTCTTCTCAAACCACAACTGCTTATATACATACGCCAACAAGTTACGGAACGACACCTAATTCTTTCATTTTTCCTTCCCATCTTTCTCTCTCTACACATTTCCTCCTAGAGAGAGAGAGGAGAGAGAGAGAAGAGAGAGAGAGGGGCATCCATTTTCTTTTTCCTTTTTTTTTTCTTTTTTCTCGTGGGTTTATCAGACGCAAGGCCAAGAATTAATCAATTGAAAAAAAAAAAAAATGGTTTCGTACGCAAAGATCAGCAAAACCCTAGACGGGATGAAGCCGACGATAATGATGATCGTATTTCAGGCGGTGTTCGCCGTCGTAAACATCGGCTACAAGCTTGCCGCCAACGACGGCATGCGCCTCCCTATCCTCGTGGCCTACCGATTCTTGTTCAGCGCCGCTTTCATAATACCCGTCGCCTTTTTCGTCGAAAGGTTTTTTTTTTTTTTCGTCCCAAATTATGTTTGTTGTGAGATTGATTTCAGGGGTTTTCGTTTGAAAAAAATTCTATGGTTTTTGCAAAGAACCCTAGAAATCGTGAATCTTGAAAAAACCCTATTTTTTCATGTTATTTTATGTATAATATAAAAAACATCAAATCCAGATATGTTATTATTTAATTAATTTTTTATTTTTGGAATTGTTATAGGAAAAAGAGGCCAAAATTAACATGGAAGGTAGCTTCATATGGTTTTCTATGTGGTTTATTTGGGTAAGTTTTCTGCAATTAATTTTAAATGTATTTATTTCCATTAAAAAAGAAATTGTGTGAAATGCAGTTTGAAATTAATTGCTATGTGAAATTTGTTGAACTTTATATTTAGCTTTATGTGACAATCAGTTGTCTTCTGTTAACTGTTGCAATCTAGTTATTTCACCACCAACATTAAATAAAGTGACTAAAATGGCACATATTTATAAATAATATGGAATTAAATTTTGAGATTCGATAGCTTTTATAATATATATTCGGCATTTCTCTAGGGTTCTTAGCCTTTTCGTAGTTTCTTGAATTCAAGAACTTTTTGTGCATTTCGTTTTATCGGTATAACGGATTTACTATCTTTTTTTGCTTATGGAAGGGGCTAATTATGTGGGATTTTGAGTTTTATTAAAAAAAACAGATTGAATTCAACTAATACGAAAAAAATAAAAAATCGATCGTAATTAATTTCTCGATACGTCGCAGGGGAGCACTAGGGCAAAATCTATACTTGAAAGCCCTAGACTTAACTTCTGCAACATTTGTCTCTGCAATGACCAATCTTATTCCAGCCATGACATTCATCGTCGCAGTTTGCTTAAGGTACAAAATCGATACATTAATTAATTCCTCGATTTTTTTTTTAATTTTTTTCTTACATACATACGATGTTAATTTAATCAAATGTTTAATTAGGTTAGAGAGGCTAGGGTGGAACACGGCAGCAGGCAAAGCGAAGGTTTTAGGAACATTACTCGGTATAAGCGGAGCAATGCTCCTCACATTCTACAAAGGCCCGGAAATAAATCTTTGGGACACGCATATAAACCTTCTAGAACTTACCAAATCAAATCGATCAAACGGAAGCACGCAAGTTCACCACGGTGGGCAAAATCTCGTATTGGGTTCCATATTAGCCCTAGTTAGTTGTGTTTGTTACTCACTATGGTTGATTGTTCAGGTAACATTTTTTTGCATCGTAGGGTTTTTTTGCTAATATTTTTTAACACAAGGATTTATTAGCAATTCAATACAACACAAGGGTACTAAATGCAATAAACTCATTTTTTATTTATGCAATTGATTTCTTATTTTTATTTTTTTTCCAACAAAGGCTAAAGCGGCGGCGAAGTATCCATGTCCGTATTCGATTACCGCAATGATGTCGTTTTGGGCATCGATACAAGGTGTTGGCTTTGCCCTTTGCATGGAGAGGGAATGGAACGATTGGATTCCGCGATTGAATATCGGACTCCTCACAGCAGCTGTCGCCGTAAGTTATTTATTCGATTTTGCACGATTCTTGATTTTTTTCGATCACAATGCATAACCAAAAAAAAAAAAAAGAAAAAAAAAATATTTACGTACATTGTTCGTCTATGTTTGTTTAAATTAATGATTTTGATTTTCGGATCGTGAAATTAATTAAATAGGGAATATTGGGTTCGGGAGTGATGTTCGTGTTTGTTGCGTGGTGCGTACGAATGAGGGGGCCGTTGTTCGTATCGGTATTCAACCCGTTGCTTCTTGTGATGGTGGCAATTGCTGGATCTTTGTTTTTGGAAGAGAAGCTTCATTGGGGAATGTATGTGTTTCTTTCAATCTTATTAATTACTTTCATAATTTCCATAAATCCTTGTTAATTACCAAAAAAATGTGAAACCTCAGTTACAGTGGTACTAGTAAAATTCTATTAATTTAGCAAAAATATTAAATTATCGAACGATATAATTTAGTACGTTTTTACCACCAACTCGGGAATCGAAAAAATTATTATTTAAGTAAAATTATTAATTTATCGAGGTTTTACTGTATATTACAGGGTGCTAGGTGGCATCTTGATAGTGGCTGGATTATACATAGTATTATGGGGAAAAGGCAGAGAATTGAAGCAAGTGTCACAACAAACGCCACAAGCTGAAAATGAAGAACAAACGCCACAAGCCGAAAATGAAGAACAAACGCAAACGCAAGTACATATCGAAATGCCAACGGTACAAACGCAGTCGGCGCCGCGCCTAAGTGGCGGCAGCAGCCACGGCCGAGGAAGCAGCAGAAGGACGACGACGGCAGCGGCAACGGCAACGGCAGACGACGAAAGAGAAGACGATAGTAGGGGTTCTCATTCGAGCTCCGATTACGTAGGCGGTCTTTATCTTTATCATTCGTAGAATGATATTATTTTTTCGAACTAAAAGAAAAAGAAAAAAAAATTAATAATAAAGAGATATATATTAATTAATTTGCTAACCCCTTAATTTTTTTATTTCTTTCTTGCTTAGGAAAGTTTTAAGTATTGCCCCAACTGTTATTTGTAGTCTTGTTTCTTAGACATAATTTTGTCATGTAAAATTTTTTGACACTTTAATGTAGAACATTAATATGTTTTAAATATTTTTTCCTATTATTAATGAAAATATGTGAAGTCCACTATTATATATTAGAGTAAAAAGCAGCTTGCTTCCTCAACTAAGGGCATTTTTGCATTTTGCCTTCAAACAAAAAAAAATTCACGTTTTTACCTGAACTTGTTATTTCATTGCACGATGCCTTTAAAATGAAATTTTCAGGCAATTTTAGTCGGAATATTATGATAAATTACAGTCACACCTCTGAGATAAATTTAAATTATGAACAAAAAATTCCTCATGTTTGATAATTACAATCATCTCCTCAACTATGAATCTTCTTATATGTCCATCCTAACAGTGTTAAATTTCGTGAAATCTTCAAGATTATATAACATAAGCTACAGTTTGTACCCGTTTTACCATATTCGAGCTCCACATTTTGAAACAAAATGATCACAAGACGTGTCTATTGGCTTGTAAATATGAAATTGTGGTGCGTCAGAACTGATTTTTTGCACAAAACAAGTACAATTTAGATATCATTCCAAGGAATCTAGTAATCTAGAAAATTCCGTAATTTACCCCATATGTTAAATGGAATAAAAAATTATTGAACTAACTAAATGTCAAATAAATATGTGATTACGTGTAAAATATATAATAAGAACAATAACAACATAACCTCATCGTACTTTCAATAAAAACACATAACTCCTTTATACTTTAATTTAAATCATATTAAAAGTATAAGAGGGTCATGTGCAAGAGGATCAAACTATTAGGGACTTAAATGAGATAACATGTGTTTGTATTAAAAGTATAAGAGGGTCATGTGCAAGAGGATCAAACTATTAGGGACTTAAATGCTATTTACCCAAAAAACAAAGTGAGATCAGAAAGTAATCGAAAGGCGAAAATGGAGAAGAAGAAGATGGTGATATTACTGGCCGTAGTTCTGTTAATACTCTCCGCCAATATTAACGGCGTTAAGTCCGACGCCTTCGACTGCTACGATGCTTGTTCTACGGCCTGCGTTAACCCCGACAGTAAACTTCTTCAAAATTTTCCTTTTTTCCTATTTAATTTCACAATTAATTTGTTGGAATTTAATTCGTTTTTATTTATTAATTACTAATTTTTTTTCTCGATTGTTCAGCTAGGGTTATGGCTCGCTGCGATCGCAAGTGCCAGATAAGGTGCAGTCCAGGTATTTTTCCCCCAATTTCTACTGATTTTTTTTTATCAAAAATTTGATTTTGATCGATAAATTAATAACGTCACTTAAATAATAGTTTTTTCATGTCCCAACTCGGTAAAAATCTACTAAATTATTAATTTGATAATTTAATATTACGCTAAATTAATTGGATTTTGTCAGTCCCGCTTGTATTAATTGAAAAATTTAAGGCTCTAAAAAAATCGAAGCATGAAAACACATTTAACCAAATCTCGATCAACGAAGTAAAAAGTCTCTGTTTCAATCCAAGTTTGTGGCCTAATCAGTTATTTCGGTTCGATTTCACCTATCCGAGTTTGATAACCGATGAAAAAGTAGTTTCCTCCTTAAAAGCTAACCGTACAATTTATTTAGTAGTTCGTTTTCGTTGATTTTTTTTTTTATTTCCAAAATAAGGGTTTTAAATGTGTTTTAGCATATGATGTAGATCTACTGACTGTGTTGACTAAATCTGTGGATTTTGTAGTTCGATAGTATAACTATGAAGTCGATTTAATAGCATCTGTGAGCCTGTGTATCTATCTGTAAGTATAGGCTCTACGATAATACATTTTACTACGAAGAACGAGGAATTATATCGAGGTATATGTATATTCGACTAGACTTATCAAATATAGTGTCTGTTCGTTCGATTGACGCGGAAAATCGCTAGTTTTAGTTGACTGTTTCTTAAGATATAGAGTGTATAAATTTCTAGTTTTTCATGTCTCGAAAAGTTGATGAACAATTATTTCAACAAATAAAAATTATGCTTCAAATTATGTTTTTTTTTTTGGTCAGTTTCGTTTACGAGTGCAAAATTAAACGTGGAATTTTCTTTCTTGATGCGACTGATTAGCAAATCCAAGATAGTATTTTTACTCTTCGTTGCTATTTATTCCAATTTCCGTCCGATGAAGTTATGCTAGTTTTCGTTTTCGGATGCACCATATACATATATACGGCTAATGATTGTCCGTTATACAGTTAGTTTAATCAAATACTTTCGTTATATCGAATTTTTCTGCAGTTATGATCGTCTCCGCCGTTATATTTATCAATAGTTTTGTATTGTAGTATGATTTATTTTAATTTTTTTTTTGTTTTAAACAATATAATAATGAATGATTATTTTCCACTCTGGCAGAACTTGAGGCTGATCATGTGATTTTAAACTGAAGCTGATGTGTCTTTGGAGTGCTGAAAAGAAATAAAGGAACAAATTAATTAGTATTTCATTTTTAAACAATGGTGTTGTGTGTAATAAATGTTGAATCTTAGGATAGAAAAGTTAATGGAATTTTCGAATTCCGTCGATTCTGATCCGACATTTCCGAGTTTTTGAATAATATTTCTTTTTCGTTCCGATCTGATTTTAATTTTCAAATCTTACGTTTATACCATCAATATTATTACTATGTACTTTAGTGACAAGTATATCAACAACAGTTTTTGCCTAACCTTCTAAAAATAGGTGTCGTCTTTTAAAAGATAATTTTTTTTGTTCTGGAAATTGGAATTAATTTTTACTTCAAAGAAAATTGAACCTTTGTTCGATAGTGTTGATTCCAATGTGAAGATAGGTCTCGTCTTTTATAAAAGTTGGTGATTGTGAGTAAAGTTTGAGATAATGGCTTAATTCTAATAGTCAGAGCGTTTGCAAATAAAAAATAGGTCGGCTTTAATTACCTAATTAAAAAGTTGTAGTATCTTACAAACAAAATTCAAAATTAAGGTTATATAAAAAAGTACGTGTTGGCTGTTTGAATATATTTATAAACCAATCAATTGGCTATTCTAATTAAAGGTGGTTGGTTGCAAGGAACTTTTCACATTATCCTAAGTTTGAAGGCATCTACAATTAAATATATATAAATTAATACAATCGGTACTAGTAAAATCATATTAATTTAGTTAAATATTACTAATAATTGAATATATTTTCACCGAATCAGCCATCAGGATTGAGAAAACTTATTATTTAAGCAAGTTTATTAATTTATTGAGTATAGATTGATCGAGGTTTTGCAGTACACCACATACGAAATTAAAAGAAAAAAAAAAGAATAAAAAAAATACAATTCGGATATTTTTTGACAAATTAATTTGTTGATTACCTTTATGATCGTCTTTTCTTTCTTTTGATAATTTAATTATTACCTTTATGATCAAGATAGACTCGCACAAAAAGGATCTCTATATATAATGTTGGTTACATGTATATATACACAAACAATAAGGTATGAAGATTCACAATTGGAGGATTATTAAGACCTAAAACTGTAAATATTACCAAATTAAAACCCAACAATATAGCAATGTAAAATGTATAGTAATGGTTTTGGATATTAGTCATCAAGCTACATTTTATGAAGTACCCGACTCTGCCTTTTTATCTTCCTTTTTCTTCTCATGAAAAGAGTGGTCCAGTTAGTGGAATAAGTAACGCTTGAAATTTATCGATCTGAGTTCGATTCTACTGGTCAAACTTTCTTGGTCAAATTTTGTAGATCACACTCGTTGCATGTGATTTGACCAGTACGACAATTTACATTTCTCGTATAATTTGCGAGCTATTGAACGAGAACGGAAACACGCGTTTTAACTATGGGTTGCTTTGTAAAAGATTAGCGTGTTTCACAAATAGAGCCACATTTTGAAGAGTTTTATTAGAGATAAAAGAGCTTATATTGTTAAAAGCATGAGCCACTTTATATCATACTTTAAAATGCCCCATTAATTTAAAAGATTTTTCATTTTTCAAATTAAATCAGTTGTCGTAAAATTAATTGGCGCTGTCAGTTACCTCAAAATCAATTGGTGTCAAAAAAAAACGTAAACTCTAACTTTTTAATGTATTCAAAATACACAACCGCCTACGACATTCGCACTTAGATGGGCCTCCGCCATGTGGACAATTGTTGTCAAACTCAGGCTAACAAGAACTAATTTAAATTTGAATGTGACGCTTACTCAAAAACTGATCAAATAACTCATAGAGTGTTAAAACTCGAGTAAATAGAGAATGTTGATATATTTTATCATGTGTCTGAAATAATAGAAGAGAAAATAATCGTTCGTCGATCACCTACAGAAAATTGGAAACGAGGTAACTCGTTGGGATTTGCGTGGCAGTTGCACTGACGCCCAAATCGGAAACCACAAATCGAATAAGAGCTAAATAAGCTCGTTTACAAAATAACACATACCTTCAATATAATATGATTTGATTTCTATCCCAAAAATATTGTGAAAAAACAGAAATTGAAAAACTGAAAATCGAAAGAAAAAATAATGTTCTAAAATCAAAATATTTTTAAGAAATCGGCAGAATTCGTAAATTCGACTACGACTTGCACCCCTCTATAGCTCAGGTATTCGAATTCGTATTCGTATTCACCAAATTTAAAGACTTTCCAAAACCCACGAAAATAATTTGAACACATAATATATAAGTTACATATAATATTAATGATTTTCTTGCAAAATTTTGGAATACTCAAAATTATATTAACACAGCTGTCACAAATTTAATTACTGAAGGTACAGCTGGTTATAACTTGTGACATTGAAATAAAATTTATTACATACTAATAAATAATCTAATGTACATGTAGTTGAAACAACCTGGCGTAATTTAGTGCAGACGCCACGTAGGCTTTTATGGGAAGCGTTACAACTAAAAGTCTTACATATTTCCTCCTAATCAGGAAAATAATTTCTTGCTGTAAATTCAAACTATTTGGTCATCACTCCACAAAATGCATTTACTCTCTCCTCTCTATATTCTTTCCACGTCAATTAATTAATTAATTAATTAATTAATTATTTCCACTAGTGGAGTTTAACGTACGCCATGACGTTAACATTAAGGTTAAAAAATTTTCTCTTACGTAAGCTTGAAAAAATAAATATAAAACTTTACAATCTTGAGAAATATATACAAGATTCTTTAAATCAATTCTCATAATAAGATTGCATTTATTATTATTATTATTACTTTACTTGTTAAATGTAATACAAAAATAATACTTATATGCGAATTTTACCAATATACATGAATTTAAACAAAGTATTATATTTTCTACTGATGTATATATTAATTACCATTTTCTCAATTTGCCCGTCAAGA